TATATATATATATATATATATATATTTGTATATATATGTGAATTTATATATATATATTAATTTAAATATATGTAGATGAATATTTGGATATTTAATAATATTTTTGAATGATGAGTGAGCAGTTTTTTGCTGAGTCAGCAGTTTTTTTTGCTGAATCAGCAGTTTTTTGCTGAGTCAGCAGTTGCGTTTGTTTGATTTGGAAAAATTTTAAAGTCTGGGTATTTATGTGAGAGTTTTGAAAAGTTCAGGTATTTATATGACAATTTCATAGTTCGAGTATTTATTTGAAATTTTTATAAAAGTTCGGGTATTTTTATGTGATTACTCCTAAATTTTATGGTTTATTAGGTAAAACACATAAGATACAAATGAACTACAAAAAAATAACACTAATAATAATAAGTGTAAAAATTCAAATATTATAAAAATCCTAATAACCATTCGGTTAACCGCGGTTATTCGGTTATTAATCGAACTGAACCAAATCCGAACGGTTATTCAACTTTTTCAACCGTTCGGTTATTAAACGAATAATCAAACCGAACCAAACCGTTCTTATTTAGTTCGGTTCGGTTCGATTATTCGGTTAATAACCGAAATGGCCACCCCTACCGTTCAGATAGTTTAAAATTCAATTTTGATCATACGAGTCAAATTGGTCACACTGATCACACCACTTAATATTAAACTCAGGTCATACGAATGACACTGGTCATATCACTTAATATTAAACTCTTATCACATTGATCACACTGATCACATTGTTCGAAATTCAATTCTGGTCACATTTGTCACAAATAATTACACCAAAATTTTATAAAATTTCCAAACAAATTTAATTTTTTTGTGATGAAGAAAATTTTAAAATTTTAAAAATATTTAATTTTTTTTCTAGGAAATTGAAAATTACTTTATTTCCTCTTGTCATCAAATATATAAAGTAAATTGTTTTTTTTTCCAAAAGCCAATATAGCAAAGTAAAGTATTTGTTTATAAAAGCCCGATCCGTTGAATCTTACATCAAACTATCTTGCCCTAATCAATATTTTACTATCATTCTATTATTATTGTTGAATTCCACATTTTTTGTGTTAACGATTGTCAGTCTCTTTTGTTATAAGAGGGATATATATATATTAAAAACGGTGAAACAAAATTAAGAATTCAACATATATATATATACGTTAATCTTATAACAGTATTTATTGAAGTTGTAATTCTGAAATGAAATAAAAAATATATCCAAAAAATAAAGCAATAGAAATAAATGAGATGCAACAACCCAGATCAAAGGGTCCGTTTCATTAAATATGGGAAAAGGAAATAAACCCAAATCTCATCTGACAACTCAACCGCTTATTTCATTTAATTACATCTAACCCCATCACCCTATATATATTTTTTTTCATAGAATATTTGCTTGGTCCAAAAGGATCGAGAAATATGGGATTACAAAGGGTTGATAAACAAAAATATTTGAGATACATAAACCTAAACCAAGATAATATACGAATTGCATTTTAACTATATATAAATGAGATTTTAAATTTATAAAAATTAGGGGTAGATATTTGGGTTTTCAATATATATATATATTGGAATAAAAATAAAATCAACAAATATAATTTTTTAAAATTAAATTAAATTTTATGATTAAAATAGTTGAATAAAACAAAAAAATTAAAATAATTTTTTAAAAATATTTTAAAATTTTAAAAAATCAAATTAAATCGCAAGTTAATATAAAAATCAAATAGGTATATTTTATAAAGTGACCATTTAAATAATAAATAATGGAATTAAAACATATTCAAAATCTGAAATAAGCATCATAACCAAAAAGTATAATGACATGATAATCGGCATGAAGATTGCTATAATTTGAAGTTTAATTTCCTTTGGGCATGGTATTCAAAATTTCAAATTATATCTCTAAATGATTTGAATTAAGGCATGATTTGATAGTTAAAGAACAACTATTGGAAATTTTTTCAGAGCAATACAAATCACATAAAAGTAGACGTAAAAACAATACAAATGTTATTATTGATTAGATCATTTACATGGTGGAAAAAAAATTAGACCATTTACATGAATATTTAAATTTTAAACTTTTTATTAAATATCTATTACAGTTTTACTAGTGTTCCATTTTAATGTGATACATTAAAAATATTAAATTTATTTTGATTATCTACACGTTAAAGTGGTTTGGACACATAAAATGTAGACCGCTAGATACTCTGGTTAGAAAATTAGAGAGTATAAAGATAGAAACGAAGAAACGAGAAGACATAGACTTACTTGGGAACGAATCATTAGAAATGACTTGGATATATTGTAAATATCAGAGAATATGATGCAAAACCGAAATAAATGAAAAAAAAAAGAATTCATTCGACCGATCTCAAATAAATTAGGGATTAAAATGATATTGTTGTTGTTGATCTACACTTTAAATTTATTTCCAGTTTCAATTAAACAATAAATTTGTTTTATACTTCTATATTCAAATAAAATAATATTAGTTTTATTTAGTTTTATATTTAATTTCGATTATTTTTATAATGTTTTACTTACATAAAAAATCAAATCCAACACATAAATAGAATTAAAAACTAACTGAATGTTAAATTGGAACTAAAAAACAATTTTGCATTCTATGGTCGTTAAAATAATCTGTAGTTTATTTAGATGGTAAAATATAAAATATTATTTAAGATTTTGTAATATGTGCACAAAATGTTTTAGCATAAAGATGATTACATTGCTCTGAGCTCTCGTCACTTTCATAGCTACTGCATTTCTGCCGTGACTTTCTCTGCATATCATTTCTATAAATACGCCCTTTCTTCCTCATCTTTTCTTTTATTCTCATCTCAGAGCACCGATGCCGGAAACAATGGCTTCCGCGCCATATTTCTCTGGTCTCCCCGTCACTCTCTCTCTCCTATTCCTCCTCTTCGTCACTACCACTTTCTCTCGCTCGCTCACCTCTTCCTCTGAAACGACGATCCTCGACGTCGTTTCGTCTCTTCAGCAGACCCATCAAATCCTCTCCCTCGATCCGTCCGGGACGACCCTCACCAGCCGACCCGACTTGAAATCCAAACCGGTTTTCCTCAACTCTTCGTCATTCTCTCTGGAGCTCCATTCTCGCGAGACCCTCGTCGAATCGCAGCACAAGGACTACCGGAGCCTGCTTTTGGGCCGACTCGAGCGTGATTCGGCTCGAGTCTCCGGAATCACAGCCAAAGTCAGACTCGCCATCGAGGGCGTCGAAAGATCCAAGCTCCATCCCGTTCACGACGACGATTCCCTGATCCGACCCGAGGATATGAGCACACCGGTGGTCTCAGGAGCGAGCCAAGGAAGCGGCGAGTACTTCTCACGAGTCGGAGTCGGGACTCCACCGAAGGAGATGTTCATGGTGCTCGACACGGGAAGTGACGTGAACTGGATCCAGTGTCAACCATGCTCCGATTGCTACCAACAATCCGACCCGGTTTTCAACCCGGCTTCGTCTTCCTCGTACTCTTCTCTCTCTTGTGCTTCGCCGCAGTGCTCGGCTCTCGAGGTCTCCGCCTGTCGTGCCGACAAGTGTCTCTATCAGGTCAGTTACGGTGATGGGTCTTTTACCGTCGGCGAGTTCGCCACAGAGACGGTTTCGTTTGGGAACTCCGGGAAGGTGAACGGCGTCGCTCTGGGTTGCGGACACGACAACGAGGGCTTGTTCGTCGGATCCGCTGGTCTGCTCGGTCTCGGTGGTGGTGCTTTATCTCTCACCTCTCAGATCAAAGCGAAATCCTTCTCGTACTGCCTAGTGGACCGTAACTCGGGCGGATCGTCGAGCCTCGACTTCAACTCGGCCCGACTCGGCAGCGAGGTCACCGCTCCTCTCCTCCACAACCACAAGATCGATACGTTCTACTACGTGGGTCTCACCGGATTCAGCGTCGGAGGCCACCCGGTGGCGATCCCGCCGTCGGTGTTTGCTGTCGGCGATTCTGGAAACGGCGGAGTCATTGTCGACTGCGGGACCGCCGTGACTCGGTTACAGACTCAGGCTTACAACTCACTTCGCGACGCGTTCGCTCGACTCACCGCCAACCTGAAATCGGCTTCGTCGAGCATCTCGCTCTTCGACACATGCTACGACTTTTCGTCTCTCTCCACCGTCAGAGTCCCGACGGTGGCTCTCCATTTCGCCGGCGGAAAGTCCCTCGAACTTCCGGCGAAGAACTACCTCATCCCCGTTGACTCCGCCGGTATTTTCTGCTTCGCCTTCGCTCCGACATCGACACCTCTCTCCATCATCGGCAACGTGCAGCAGCAGGGGACACGAATCAGATTCGACTTGGCCAATAACCTTGTCGGATTTCTACCCAATAAATGCTAAAAAATTACTTTCCTATTTATTTTTTTTATTTGCAGTATCAGCAAGCGTTGGATTCGTTTCTTCGTAAAAGGGCGACAAGAAAAAGCCGGTGTGAATTTTCCTCTCTAGATATAGGACTAGCTGTAACAATTTTAAATTTGCGAGGTTGATTGAGATTATTTAATATTTAGGGTGATAAAGTCAAATGTATGTTAGTGTGTGGAGAAAATTTTAAAAAATATATAAGTGTGGGGCAATCATGATAACTAAAGCAAAGATCCAAAGAAGCTTTGGGTGAGAGTCTCCATTGAAATTTAAATCAATGTTGTTGTTCTCCTTTTGAGTTACAGTAAATTTCTGCAGTATGTAAATAATTTTTTGATATTTTCATAGCATTGTATTGATTTTAAATTTTTTAAACTTTAAATATTGAGTAGGTAATTCATTATTTTTTAGGTCAAGAAGTTAGTAAGCAATTTCTATTAGGGATGTCAAGTGGATGAGACCAATCCAACCCAATCCAAGTTTGTACGTTTAGAGTTTCGGGTTCGGGATTGGCAGGCTTATATTTTTCGAGTCTATCGAGTTAAGTTTGAAGGCCAATTCTGTGATAACCAATTTTAGGAGAAGATTGGGAGTGATTATCGGTATAGAGGATACGAACAATGAGCGGCTCCAGAGTATCGCTAAGCCAAAGGGGTATAAGAATAAATCAAACATACCGGAATAAGAGACATTTTAGGACTTTATAGGTATGAGACTATACAGTCTAAGATAACATAAAAAGAATTAGTTAGACTACTCATAACAATAAGGTGCACCCTTTTTATTTGATTATCCCAAGAGAACTCCAAAGTTAAGCATGCTGCCTCTGGAGCAATCTCATGATGGGTGATCTGCTGGAAAATGTCTTGATATGCGTGCAAGTGAGAACAAAACACGTTGGAAGGTTTCGTGTTGCTGTGTGAGGACAGTTTTGACGTTCGTAACGAATGCATATCGTTACAATTCTATATGACTCGGGTTCGAATTCATGGCGAACCAGATCAATTCATTCAATTCCTTATATGTATTTTTACTTTCTTGTATTTATTTTTAAAATATAAATCGGTTTTTGGATTGATCCAATATCGAATTTTAGTTCGATCTAAAAATTCAATTTTTTCCGGACTTATAAATTTAGACCAATAATTCGATATTTTTCAGATGAAATCGGTCGGGTTCACCTCCTAAATTCTACGTATTGTATTTGTAAAATATATTTGAATTTCGTAATTAAAAATTAATGCTCTTTTGTTAAACAATTAGAAGATTACAAGTGATTGGAGTTTGTTTTATTTTTTATTTTTGGTTTTCAGATTTTGGTTTTGTCTTTTAGATTTTTATTTATTTTATTTTATTTTACTTTCGAATCAATATGCTCTATTTTTTTAATAAAACGCAAAAAAATCCACTCAAATTTACATTTTTAAAGGAAAAGATAAGAATATAATATTCAAAAAATAAAAATAATTTTGTGAAAATATAGAAAATTATTGTAAAAAATTGACTTTGTTTTAAGTAATTTAGTTTTTTAATACGAGAAATCTTAATCAAGATTCCATTTCTTAATAATAAATAACCACAAATAGATAAATTCAGATTTTTTTTATATCAATTGTTTATTTTAAAATTTATTTGGACTTTCTTGTTGGGAGATTTAATTGGACTTTGATAAAAAGATGTAATATGATGGATATTTTACTAACCCATTTATTGATAAAATAAAACTTTAAAGCTTTTTAGTTATTTACATTTAGCATAGGAGGAAAATCAGATTAGATTTGGAGCTGATGGGTTGCTTTCTAGGGACAGATCACATATATTACGCAATTTGTAAACACTAACCAAACGAATTTGTGAGGATGTTGTTAAATATTTTAGAGTAAATGGTTGGCAAGAATAATCTCTTTAGAGATTCATAAATATATGTATTACGAATATGGTGGAGGAGTTAAGTGTTCGTAATGATATATGTTTGTTTTGATCCATATTATATCATTTACGAACACTTAACCTCTCCACTATATTCGTAATATATATAATTATAAATCTCTAGAGAGATTATTCTTGTCAACCATTTACTCTAAAATATTCAACAAATGTTACGCAATTTTAACTAAGAGTCTATGTTTAATATTACGATTATATTTTAATTTATTTTTTTAGCTTCATAGAACTGTATTCATTAGTTCTTTTCTATATCATTCTTCAATTAAATTAAAATTCTATTAAAGTCAATTCAATTTAAATTTTTTCACTAGAAGAATACTTATTCTCTAACAAATATACATCTCCACTTTGTTTTTAATTATTTTTATATTGCGTTTCAATTATCTTAATTTAATTTTAAAAAATCAGCACTAATTATTCTATATCTCTTTCGATTAGAGTTATATACATTTGGCTAAAGATTAATCTGGTTGTATTATTTATCGTACCTAAATTTGTATCCCTTATTTAGGTACGCAAGGATCTGATGCATGCTCGACACGTGTCGTTACAGTACACGACGGTGGATTCATTTACATGGCGACTGGTTGTGCGCAAGTCACGGGCAAATTGGCTGGACCAGTGTTTCGTCCTTTTAGGTTTTATTTTTCATTATTTTTTACGTAATTTTTTATTCCGTAAAGTTATAATTCGGATGAATATCTCTAATTCCCTATCTACACTTAAATTTTAATCTAGAATAAAAACATACTTTTCATTTTCTACAGATACTAAATCTCTCAAATTTGGTTTTTATATAGTTTATATTTTCTTTTGTATATATACGCACATATGTAATATACAATTTGAAATCTGCTGCTGGCGTTGAAAAATTGCCTTTCAGTTTATTGTATAATGGTGACAAAAAAGAAAGCACATTATAGTATAATGAACGGTCCACTTTGGCGAATAAATTATGGAATTTATATTTTCTCGCAATTGGTTTGGTGGGTATGAACGCAAGATTTGTATTATCAGAAGACTCGAGTCCTATATAGCACTTTCTCTTGAATAAAAATATATGGTGATTGTAGATTATTAATATCTACACCACGCGTACTTATATATGGATGGATATGGTACTGTCCATTTTTGCGAAACTGATTAGAAATTTTAGGTGATCCAATGTATCTATATATTTATTAATGAGATTAATGAGTTTGTTTTCTCTTAATAATTAAGTGAAGACTTATTAGATCCAATGAGTTTAATGAAATCCTAATCTCTTTATAATTATGTTTAAGAAACACAATTTAGAGTTAAGAAAAATAAGAAGATTTTTCTCTCCCTCTCTTTCTCAATTCGGTCGACCTCTCTCTCTCTTCCGAGGAGCGCCTCGGTTTCCGTTCCCATCATCCAGGACATGTTCTAACAGACGCGAGCCTGTAGAGAGCGCTTGATTTCAGCGTTTGTGACAGGTTCTTGAATCGAAACAGGTTGGTATATCGATACCTTTATCATTATATGTAAGATCTGTTGATTGGATTTCATATAATATATTCCCTGTGTGCAATCCAAATTGGAATTCTAGAAACAATTATGAACGCATGTTTAGGGATCTCCAAAACTCCAACAATGGTACCAGAGCCTGCTTGACATATAATTGAAACCTATTTCAGGATTTGGAGTTGTGACTTTATGCAAAACGTCAACTATCTGATAAGTTCGAACCCAAATCTGAAAGATGCTTGTTTGTTGGTTACCCCAAGGAAACAAGGGGATACTACTTCTACAATCTAACTGAGAACAAAATGTTTGTTGCTCGAGATGAGACTTTCCTGGAACGAGAATTTGTCTCCAAGAAAACTAGTGGGAGTAAGATTGACCTTGGAGAATTCCAAGAGCCACAAACTGAAGCTGAACCTAGCGAAATAGTTAAAATGATTCAACCTAAAATCGACTTATTGTAATAATATTGACCTTATGACTTTGTCTGTTGTTGATGAACCTCAGAGATCGAGGAGGATTCGACATGAGCCTGATAGATATGATTTATCGTCACTGAAAATGATGAACTCGTGCTCATGGAGATGATGAGCCTACATCATATTTAGATGCTATGTCGAAACCCGACTCTGAGAAATGGCTCGATGGTATGAAGTCTGAGATGCAATCTATGTAAGACAACCAAGTATGGACTTTAATTGATGCATCTGAAGGGATAAAACCTAGCGGATGCAAATGAGTTTTCAAGAAGAAAACTAAAATGGATGGCAACATGCATACCTATAAAGCAGGATCGGTGGCGAAAGGATTTCGACAAATTCATGGTATTGACTGTGACGAAACCTTCTCGTCCATTGCTATGTTTAAATCCATTCTCGGGTACTCATTGTCATATCCGGATATTACGACTATGAGATATGACAAATGGATGTCAAGACCGCATTCCTTAACGAAAATATGCTTGGGGATGTGTACATGACACAGCCCGAGGGTTTTGAAGATCCTGAGCATCCAAGGAATGTATGCAAGCTTCAGAGGTTCATTTATGCACTGAAACAGGCTTCAAAAAGCTGGAACCTGCGTTTTGATGAAACAGTCAAAGAGTTTGGTTTTTTACAAAATTAGGATGAACCACACGTTTATCAGAAGGCCAGTGGGAGCGTAATTTGTTTCTGGTCTTATACGTTGATGACATCTTGCTCATCGAAACGATATTCCTACTTTGCAAGACGTTAAGTCATGGCTAGAAAAACATTTTGCGATGAAAGACTTAGGCGATGCTGCCTATATTTTAGGCGTCAAGATCTATAGAGATAGATCGAGGAAAGCTGATCAATCTAAGTCAGAGTACTTACGTCGACAAGGTGTTAAAACGGTTTAGCATGCAAGAATCCAAGAAAGGATCCTTGCCGATGAGGCACGGTTTAGTTCTGAGTAAGAATCAGTGTCCAAAGACATTTGACGAGCGAGAAAACATGGATAGAATTCTATACCTTCGGCGATAGGATCTATCATATATGTCGTGCAGCGTACTCTGCCAGATGTGTCGTTAGCATTGAGTCTAAGGAGTAGATACCAGTCTGATCCAGGTGAGCCACATTGGATAGCCATAAAGAACATCCTGAAGTACCTGAGAAGGACTAAGTGTTGGTTTTTTACGTCGCTACGGGTTCCTAGCATGCGATCATATCGATCTAGGGTTTGGTTTACTAGGTTTCATGCAGCGGAAGGATAATCTAAACCTAGTCAAACGTCACACGCAACCAAACTCATAAAATCCGAAAGAACGTGTATATCACCGTTGGAATCGAATACTTACCTCTTTCCTGAAGATCTGAAAGTAGCAATCGATCCGGGGCCTGTTTTAATCACCTAGGACTGAAGTTACAGTCCCTCTACACGTATCCACAC